GCCACTCAGAATAAGGGATTAGAATTAAGCTTTGCAACCTTGAAAGAATGAACATATCATTTAGGTCCTTTTTGTTTGAATTATGATTACAAACATGTTAATTTAGTTATATTATATTTTATTCGCCTTATAATAAATGTCATATGTTGAAAATTGTAACTTGTTATCTTTCGTTTTATAATAATATTATGCAATGAGTTGTGATTCTCAAAGCATGACACTTGTAACGGTGGAAAGTATTATATATAAGAAATCCAATCATAATAAGGTAGAAAGTATTATATATAAGAAATCCAATTATAATAATAGTGAATTGATACAAGGACAACGTGTTCAATTGTAGAGTTGATTCAGTAATGTGGCACATACAACGAAGTTACGACTTACGAAGCTATGTATTTCACACTTCCAATACGGTCACGAGTAAATGAAGTATGGGCAAAACTCACTAAAGAGAAGACTACTTTGACTTGAACTCAAATTTTGTACTTTTTCTCTCTTAAAGTACCATTAATTAATAATAAAGCCCTCGTTTTTTTGAGCCCTTTTTAAGTTGGGGTTAGTGCGGCCTAGTAATTTGAGTCACCTCCACGTGTGAACTCCATTTACAGTCTTTTTCCTCCATTTCCTATATAATACATAGTACTACAATTGTATATTATATATAAAAAATAAAAAAATAAAAGTGTAAAATTGTATATTATATATAATTTGCACTCTTAGGGGTAAAAGACGATTGAATATAGCAAGAGTGACCATATTTATAATTTTTTTTATATTTTATTTGACAAATTTGTTTCATATTTGAAGTGAACTGAATTTAGTGTTCAGAATATCTTTATCATTTAAATTAGGTACAAAAAAAAAAAAAAAACAAGTAATATTGGGTATTGTTTACTCCTATTATCAAGAGAAATGTATCAATTATATTTTGTGTATTTCTATTATAAAAGAAATAAAAATTATATGATTAGTAGGGATATCACTTACGTAGTAACATCGGGGTATTTAAAATTTTTTTTGACAAAGTAAGAGTGTGTATTACAAGAAAAACTTAATTGTGTAGGTTGCATTGACGACATGGTATTACTAACCTATTAAATACTGACACGTAGTGATATTGTAACGACCCTCACCCTGTACAGACACAATATTATCCATTTTTGGCTCTCTCGGATCAAAAACTTCCTAATGGGTCACCAATCCTGGTACTACTCCAGGTTAAACACGCTTAATTCTGAAGTTCTGGTGAGTTCACTAGGGTATTGAATCTACATATAGCACTTGTCCCATCCACACCCAAGCGATGTGAGATTGTGCACCTGTAGCTTGCCCAATGTAATAGCCTACTGGTGCCACATGCACACGTTTACACACACCTGCCCACAAGATTAACACGATATGACCTACTAAAATAAAATACTTTTACTTGTGTAATAAAATACAATTAGTTAATGATACATATAACAAAATATTAAAGGTATAAAAATGGTATATACAATTTCACTTGCATTAGGATGAAGTGTTAAAACCTTATAAAATGGACATTGTTTACAAAACCTATAACGTGGAGATTGTACTAACCATTGCCATATGAATATTTTGTATATAACTTGTACAATGACTAAGGGTATATTCGTAATATGAAGCAAAATAAACAATTTGTATTATTTTCACTTTTCTAATATTGCAATGCATTTTCACACTATCAAAATTTTATACGGATAATAAATATAAAAAAAATGATAAAAACAAAGAGAGTAAATTTTTTAAAAGCTAGTGGTGTAAAATATCATTTTTTGTTCTTCTGTTTTTTCTAGTCTACCATATGTGTGTAATATGTGTATAGAAAAAGAAAAATTATAAATACATACACTTTAATTTGAATCTCCATTTACTACTATTTCATAGAGTCAAAATCATAAAAATAAAAAATAAAAAAAAAATTAAAATTTGAATTTAAGAGAAAATGCAATACAATACAAATTGAATTTATGCATTCTAGTTACATAAAAGTGGTGGAGCCAGGGCGACTCGATATAATTTGAGGCCTTGGACAAAAAATGCAAAAGTGGCCTTTTAATATGTATTTTATTAATATCGAATAATAATTAATTATATTTATTAAAACTATCTTTCAAGATGTAAATTACAAATTAGATTATTGCATTCTTTGCTAAATTTTTTATTATTATATAATATAACTAGTCTATTATATATATAGATGTATATATTCAATAATTATAATTTCAATAGCTATATTTTTTATATTTGAAATTCCACTATATATATTCAAAGTTGTATTGATGTGGATTTGTAACGACCTACTCCACCACATGGTATGATATTGTCCGCTTTGGATCCGAGCCCACACAGTTTTGCTCTTCAATTTTACCCCAAAAAATCTCATACCAATTGGAGTGACACACCTACATATATAACACTTCCCTTTCCCACACCCAAGCGATGTGGGATTGTGCACCTGTAGTTCATCCAGTGTGGTAACCTATTAGTATTTCGCACCCGCCTACAAGGTTGCCACAATTACCTCCCCTTGGCCCAATGTTCTCGTTGGCCACACTTGCGGTTGGGTCAAACTCTAATACCATTTGTAACGATCCATTCCATTACATGGTATGATTATTATGGCGACCTTGTAGGCTAGTATGTCATGGGTGAGTACTGACAGACTACCACACTGGGTGATTTACAGTTACACAACCCTACATCGCTTGGGTAAGGCAAATGTGAAGTGCTTATATGTGGTGGTGCTATCTCCAATTGGTATGAGGTCTTTTGGGGTAAAACTTAATAATAAAACTATGAGGGCTCGGGCCCAAAGCGGATAGTATCATATCATGTGGTGGAGTGGGTCATTATAAATAGTTTTAGAGCCAGACCCACCGAAAGTGTGGTTGACAAGAACGTTGGGCCCCAAAGGGGAGTGATTGTGGTGACCTTGTGGGCTAATGTGCACTTATGGAATGGAATGCCCATACATTTATGCTGCATTTGGTGTGCAGGAATGGAATGTAATGGAATGGCATGTTCATTTCAACCATACCTTTGTTTGATATGCAATTTAAAGTGGGAATGGCCATTTCATTGGAATGAAAATCCATTCCACAACTAAACCTATGGAATGGTCATTCCATTCTCAAGTAAATTTTTTTAAAAAATCAATTTCCCAAAAGACCTTTATGTTCCAAGTCCAAAAATCATCACCATCTTCCACCATAACCACCTCCACCTTTCACCACCACCGGCACTACCGCTGCTTTCTACCACCGCTTTCCACCACCGCCTTCCTTTGCCCTAACAATTGTTGCTGCTACCGCCACCACCACTACTACCACCACCGCCGCCGCCATCACCTTTCATCACCTTCCACCACCGCTACCTCCTTTCACCACCGCTACCGCCTTCCACCACCACTACTGCCACTGTCTTACACCACCGCCACCGCCTTCCACTACCACCACCACTGCCTTCCGTCACCACCTTCCACCACTGCTATCGTCTTCTACCACCTTCTACCACCACCACCGTCATCACCTTTCACTACCATTCCGCCACTGTCTTTCACCACCTTCCGCTACTGCCACCGCCACCGCTTTTTATCACAGCCACCGCCTTCCACCACCATTGCCGCCACCCCTTTCACCACCACCACTGTCGCCACTGTCTTGCACCACCATCGCCTCTACCTTTCACCATCACCACCACCTTCCATCACCACCGCCATTTCCTTCCACTACCACCACCGCTACCGCCTTCCACTACCACCACCACCAGAGTCACCTTTATTGGCTTCCACCACCGCCACTGACACCATTATCTCCTTCCACCACCACCACTAACACTCTTGACACCACTTTCCACTATTGCCACCGCCTTCCAACACCACCACCGCCACCGCCTTCCAACACCACCACCTCTACCGTTTTCCACCACCGCCATTACCACCATTTATTTTTAAAACATTATAGAATAATTTTATTTTGTTAATTTAATTTATTTTTTACTAATAGGGATATTTTAGAGAACTCAATTTGAAATTTATTTCATTCTAAATTAAAAATTAGTCCAACCAAACACTAGAATGGTTATTATCATTCCATTCTTACATATTTCATATTTACAATTAAACAATAGAATGAGAATGACCATCTCATTCCATTATCATTCTTATTCCATTCCCATTCCCATTCCCATTCCCATTCCCACTCGCATTCCATTCAATTTCTGCACACCAAACACATCATTAGTTTTTGTGAGAGAAAATTTGACTTGTATAACGTCATTCACACACACACACTTGCATGCATGATAAAAACTTTAATGAGTCGGCTGTAGTAATGATATGTTATCACCCAGGTACAGACTCAATTCAGGTGCCCCCACTAGATTTTTTATAATTTATATTATTACTTATAGTTTTAGCTACCCACTAGGGTTTTTTTTATTTACATTATTACCTATAGTTTAAACTAAAATTTCATAAATGCCCCCACTTGATTTTTTTCAATTTACATTATACCTATAATTTCAACTAAAATCTCAAAAATACCCCACTCAATTTTTCAAAATACTCCATTTCACATTTTTATCTCACTAATTTTTAAAAATTCTTATATTTATTATTTTATTTTAAAAATATTTATCTTCAATTTTTTTTATTATTCAACTGTGCTCTCTCAAATTTTTTTTTTTTTTCTGAATTTGCATATTACTGACTTATTAAATAGTGTCATGTAGTAATATGATCTATTAAAATGAAATATTTTTATTTATGTGATATGATATAATGAATTTCTGATATAGATAATAAAGTATTAAAGATGTTAGAAAGTTTTTTTTCCAAATGCATATACATATGCATTGCACGTACACTTATACACATGTATCCGGCAATTGCTGAATTTACGGATTCCACGCGTCTCAACACACCACACACATAAATACACCCGTGATACACTTGGACTCTCACTCCCCTCCCCTCCCCTCCTTATTCTCTTTCCTCCCCCTCTGTATCTCTCTCAAACACGGTTCAACAAAACATAAACCAGACATATATTTTCATCTCCAAACATTGATATTTTCATCAGGGCAGAAAGTGATTTTGATTTTTTCCTCCAGACAGAAAGTGATTTTGACTTTAATTTCTCCATTATATATAATCTGCTAGTCTCACTGCTACATATATACAACACTCCATACATATATATATGGAAAAACAAATTCTTGATTATGTGTTGGTACCATCAGGTCTTCTTGTGATGGTGGCTTACCATATCTGGCTCCTGTATCAGATCATCAAACACCCCACGAGGACTGTCATAGGCATCAACGACATCAACCGCCGATTCTGGGTTCGTGCTATGATGGAGGTGAACACATTCAATCATTTTTTAATTTGGTAATTTTATCACATACAATGTTGATGATGATCAAATACTTCTTCTATATCTGTATCTAGATGCTCTAGATTGAATTTACACACAAACACTCAAATGAGTGGTTAAAATTTCTATATATATATATATATATGTACATGCTACATATGCATATACAAAGGTGTTTGTATATATAAGCTACTATAAATTTCAGGTCAATTTAAAAATGCATCTTAAGAATTGATAATAAAATTGTGGCCATTGATACTATGATCATAAGGATTTTAGTTAGATACAATTAACAATTGATACACTCCTTGACAATATATATTTACATATATATGTATGTATATGCGTGTATATATATTAATTAGCAAATATAATATCTCCAGGACAATTACAAAATGAATCTGAAGAATTTACAATAAAATTGTGCAGGCATTGATTCTATAATCAATAACAGAGCAGAATTACAGAGTGAGGATTATATTGCTTTTTTTTTTTTTTTTTTTTTTTTTTTTTTTTTTGAGTAAATTTTCATTTAATGCGTGGAGTCTCCAAAAATATTGTGGGAGTTATTTAAAAAAAAAAAAAATTATTAAGTTAATTTTTCAATATCACATCGTGAAGATTTAAGCACTAAGCTACAACTAGAGCTTTGTTACCCATAACAGAATTTTTTTGATTGATTGGAAATATAAAGATCACCCACATATATACACAGATTCAATTACGAAGATTGAATATATACACAATCGTACACACAATACATGTATATATACACACCATTGATTCAATTACAAATACACTGAGATTACAATGATTTTAATATGGCAGGATGCGTCAAGGAATGGGATTCTAGCAGTTCAGACACTGAGAAACAACATAATGGCATCGACTCTCTTGGCGTCGACGGCGATCATGCTCAGCTCACTCATCGCCGTCCTGATGACCAACAGCGGTGGCTACCGGTCGGCCGGGTTTGCGTTCGGGGACGGGAGCCAACTGGGGTATTCAATAAAGTACTTCTCCATATTAGTGTGCTTCTTGGTGGCATTCTTGTTTGATGTGCAGTCCATAAGGTACTACAGTCATGCCAGTATACTAATCAATGTACCATTCAAGAAGATGAGCCCAGAACAGAGTCAGCTTTCAAGTCATCATTTGACGGCAGAGTATGTGGGGAGGACAGTGAACAGAGGGAGCTATTTCTGGTCATTAGGGTTGAGGGCATACTACTTTTCTTTCCCGCTGTTTTTGTGGATCTTTGGACCTATTCCAATGTTCTTGTGTTGCTTTGTCCTGGTCTTCATGCTATATTTTCTTGATGTTACCCTTGATTCTGGCTGGGTTGTTGGTGATTCTGAAGAGGAGGGCAGGGACGGAAGACGTAGAAATATTGACCATTAGGGTTGAGGGCATACTACTTTTCTTTCCCGCCATTAGTATAGCACCCGTGCTGTACTGTGATGAGCGGTTATAATCATTTCACATGGTAGTCTATGAAACGATATGAACCATATTGTTTTGAACAGTGAATTGGTACTACGTGAAATGATAAGATCGTTCAAAACAGTGCAACACGTGTGTCGTAAAATAACGATCATTTCAACTGTCATTAAATCGTTGCTTGTAGTTGTTTGTCATTTGAAAGTAGCAATGTAACGTAGATGGCATACGGAGAGCAATTTGGATTCAACTCAAGTTGAATTGAATAGCTCATTTACTCTGCCGTCCTAGAATCTGTCACTTTGTTTTTGTTGTCTCCATAATATAGAAATTAGTATTTTTAATGACTTGAATCTATTTTTAGGAAATGTAAAATGGGCTATACTAATAGGCTCGGTGGTGTAATTTTCACCCTCTCATTGACAGAGCAGTGCATCGGAACGAATTCCTACCGTGCTTTATGAATTTAATATATAGGTGGGAGGATTTTGTTTGTGTGTGTGTGTATATATATATATTTGTTCCTATATACATATAGTAATTAACGAAAGACGATATGCACACAATTAATTGGGTTGTTGAGCAATGGTATAGCCGGTTCACAACACCAACGGGAAAAGTGTTGGAAATAATTCACACAACAATGCCTGCCTATGATCATGGAGATATTCAAGGCAATATCTTTGGAATTATTTCCTGCAGAAACTAAAAAAATCTACTCACTGATCAAGGGACTCAGTCAATAATTGATTTCAATTATCTGCTGCTTATTTAGAGTTCCTTTTTTAGCTCTTGTGATTACTCAATTATCTTGTTAAATCAAGCCTTTGTACATGTACATATTTGAACTTGTTCATCAATGAAAAAGTTGTACTGCTCGCTTCCATTGAGAAAATTCTTTAAAAATCTTCATGGTATCAAAGCCATTACCTGCAAGCCTAGAAACCATGTCTTTCTTGTCCTCCTCTTCAAACCCAAAGGAAGAGCCTCAACTTAATATTCAGTTCTCCATCAGTGCTCTAGCTTGATTTCAGTCAAGCTAAACACCACAAATTTTCTCTAGTGGCAATCCCAGATTGTTCCCTTAGTTCACAACCTAGGCTTGCTTCATCATCTCACAAATGATGATAAACCGGTTGAAGAAATCGAAGATGGAAAGGGAAACAAAGATGCCAACCCGCTCTACCTGCCATGGATCAACAACGACAGCCTACTCACTTCATGGCTTCTTGGAATCATGAAAGAAGAAGTTCTGAGCATGATCTTTGGTGCAGAAACGGCGTATCAGGTTTGGACCTCTCTTGTGGAGCAACTGCTCCCGTGGAAAAGGAAGGCCATCTGAAAAACATGCTAATAACCCTCAAAAAGGGTTCTCAATCTCTAGAAGAGTACTCGAAAGATTTCAAGTCCATTTGCAATACTCTCGCTGCCATCAAAAAGCCAGTTTCAGACCTCGACAAGGTGTTCCAATTCGCTCGTGGTTTGGGTCCAAAATATATGGATTTCCGCATGGCAATGCCTACCAAACCCCGATATCCAACCTTTAGTCAGTTCATTCTAGCCCTTCAAGGCCATGAACAATCCCTAGATGCGCAAAGGGAGGAAAAAAAGACGCACTTGGAACATGCACAAGCCTTCTTTGGATAACGGTCGAGGGGGCAGAGGACAATTTAACTCAGAGGGGTAGAGGCTTCACACCTGCTGGGCGTTACAATACTCAGAATGGAAGAAACTCTTAAGCCCTTGACACTTTGTTGTCTAAAGATTGGACATAAGTAACTAAATTCAATAACAATAAACGCTGAATTCTAAGGCAAGTTTTAAGCAAATATAATCAGGCATAACCATCAAAGTCCAAATAAATATAATCCTAAAAAAGAATGCAAATACTCACCAATGGTCCACACACAGTGATATTATCTCTGCCTCGCCTCTCGATCCTCCCAGCCCCAAGCCCCGAACTTTTACAATAACTTCCATGCTCTCTGAAAAATGAATTTAATTCTCAACAACAACTTATTAAGAACTAATTGGAACGAGTTAATTAATATCTCTAACACTAAGTACATCAATTAAAACCTTATGGGAAATTCCTATTCTTTCGGTTGTTTTGACAATTAAGGTGTAAAGTATAATTTTTGTTTCATCCTGTAAAATTGGTTTACTAACATGCATGTGTACAAATTTATTAACTACATTTGGGGGTTTGGGGATGGGAAGGAAGGAACAATTTGGTTGTAGATGCGGGATGGAATTTTGGAGCCATAATTACAGGGTCATTACCTAGTATTATCTCCGTTTTGATTTAGACCCAACTTTTGACATAATTTGCACTAAGAGTCTGCTTTTAGTTTTTGTACCCGCGTTTTCACGGTGCAGGTAATGTTTAAGGGTGTAACTCTTTACTTTCTATTTTTTATTTCAACCTATTTAACAATAAATTTACAATAGTTTTAAACTTTTTTGGTAACCATAAATTTAAAAATTGTTTCTATATTAGTTTTTAAATTTGGAATCCATATTATATCGGCAAAACCAAGATGAAGAGAATTTAGTGCACCCCAGTAGAACAACTCTTGGTTGCTCAATTAGAACCAAGACAAAACTTGTAGATATGTTCAAGTTTAGGCTTAATCAGTAGAGGAGTAACTACAAAAATATTTTGTACAACCAAGTTTAGTCGGATAACTATACATCTACGTGTATCAAGACAAAACGGGAGCTACTGTTAGGATATTAACTCCCTTCAACTCACTAGCTTTAAGTTGAAAGTTAAAATTTTTATTGTTCACTTAACTCTATGGTTACGTTCATGAAAAAAGAGAGATTTCTACTATTATGAATTAAGGAAGAAACTATATAACTAAATGTCAAAATTCCACCCAGTTATCGCTCAGGATGCCACATCTTTACACTCGGGAATTACAAACACTCCCTCATCTCCTCACAATATTCACCTTTAACCCCTTACATATTCTTCTCCCCTCTCCTCTCACCATCTCTTAACCTGTATCTATTTATAGAGTCTTTAATCTCAATTCCTTATTGGATAATAATTCTCTAAATTCTCTAATTTGTCTAAGTTATCATATCCATCATAAGTCTAAAATAATTAACAATCTAATATGCCACAACTTTCTTCCCAAATCTCCAACTCCTCAATTCTTGAGGCTTCTAAAATGAAAAATGAAACTTTCTTCCATACATATCAGGTAAGTGCAATTGGTTCCACCGCTAAAGTGCAATCAGTTCCACTTCTTTAAAATACTGTTCTGACTATTCTATCGAAGTGCAATCGGTTCCACTTTTACATAATAAGATTTTCACCAGAATTTGAGTCACAACTCTATTAGCCATCTTTGAATCCATTAGCAGCTGTTGGGGGCTTTCTTTCAAATTACAAGATCAAAGTAGGTTTTTGAAACCAAGGGCGGAGGGAGGGGTGGTTGAAGCCCACCCAAAAAAATAATTTTTTTTTACTATACTACTTTTAGCCCAGTCCTAAAAAAAAAAAAATTAGTAATATTAACTCACTTCAAAATTACCCTAATCCAAAATTAGTTCACCTCATTCCGAAATCCTAGATCCGAAACACCGTTCCGACCATTCTGTCAAAATACAACTGGTTCCACTTTTAGAGATTTTTACCAAAATTTAAGCCACAACTCTAATAGCAGTCTCTTAATCCATTAGCAGCATTTGGGGGCTATTTTTCAAATTACAAGATCAAAGTTGGTAATGTTTTGCACATGAAATTGGTTGTCCAGTTTCCTTGCCAGAAATTGATCACTTCCTGTCGTCTCGTTTGCCGGAGATGGGAGTCCTCGCGATGATGTCCCCTCAGATGGACATCTTTTCGTATGACATCATGACTGTGCCTTACTGTTGGCGTGTTGACCAAGCTCATGGCATGGCGATCTGGTCCAGGTGAACCTTCTAGTGGATGCAGGATGGACCACAATCTGATGGACCTGTGTAGTGCTTCAAGCCCAATCAATATTCTACCCGCAAATTCAAGGGAAGGTCCAGTGGCAGTGGCACAAGGATTAGGTGGAGTCCACTCTACCTGTGAGGACCACATCCCCACTTCTTTAGATGATAGCAACAACAGGTGCACCACTTTTATCTCCCGAGCTTGAGGCAGCATATTCGACCTGCAAATTCAACCTTTGGTTTCTCAACTTTCTTTTCATCATCCTTGACAAAATTATTAATTAAAATTCTTTGTAATATATATATATATATATATATACCTGTTACTTCTTTATTCTCCTGGATTCTTGGTTTCATTTGCAGCCTCAACTTTGTTTTGTGTTGGCTTGGCCATCACCTCGGATTGGATTGCTAGTGCCTCAGCAACTTTTGTTTTCTTGGACGGGCCTTCACTACAGATAGCCTCCTAATCCAGTTCAAAAAGAACCCGAGGCTCTTCCTTTTGAATTTCATCTCCATTATTGTTTTCTTGCAAGTTACCAAACGCTAAAAAGAGAGGCAAAGGAAAAAAAAAAAAAATGTAACAAAAATTCAATTACAACTCCAAAAGCAATATTCTGAAAACCGAGTTGAAAAACTTAATTTCAAAGACAAGTCTGAAAATGTTTTGACAGAGATGAACCAGAAAGGCCCTTTAGTTTTCGCCCTTAGATCGAAGACATGAACCCGAGACCATTACACTTGATGGAGATTATAAAAGTAAATATATATAATTTTGAAACACGTTCCAACAAGTTTATACACCGAATTCAAAAGGTGTTTTTAAGTTTTAGAGGTAAGGGTTTACTTGTTGAACTGTTTTGGCCTCGGCCTTCTTGGGGCTGTCCAGTGTCTCGCCAGGGAGTGGTTCCGAATGATCCAAATCTTTAGGCTTGCTCGCGCAGCCTCCCATGACTGCAACAATGGAGGGACAAATGGGCAAGAGAAAGATGTATATAGGGGGAGCTGCTTTTAAAATGATAAATTGTTGGGCAAGCAAGGTTTTGTAAGCGTTGAAACAGGTAGACCTGTTGTTTGTGGCCATTATGACCTTTTTATAGGACAGTTCGATTTTGTTGGCACATCCACAAATATGAATGTGTTGATGGAAAAAAAATTTCCAATTATGCAAATCCCTCTTCCACCGTGAAATGTGCCAACAGAAATCGAACTGTCCGTTCAAAAAGGTTATGGTACAAAACGTACGGCTACAAACAAACAGGTCCAATGAGATGCTAACAATAACAATATGTAATAAAAATCAAAGGTGCTGCTGTTACCGTGATTGCGTTGTATTTAAATTCAGGAGAATGCTCAATGGTAGTGGTGACAAGAGATTGCAAAATAGTCCGTCCCTTCACGAGACAGGTGAAAGTCACTTGCACCGCCGGGATTCACCCGGATTTTTATGCAAAAATATTATTATGTCATATATCATATGTTATATGTAATATAACCTTCCTAACAATATGTATATATGTTAATATTTACTTGGTAAATTTGATATAATTTTGTAAAATTTAAAAGGATTGATGTTTATTTGGTTTATATTTCTAAATAAGACTTATTAAATTTTGAGTTGGAATTTTTTTATTTTTTTATTTTCTGCATATGAAATCGAGTTGGAATTTAAATGGGTTGGGGTGAGGAAATTAAATGGGTGTGGGGATAGGGTGATAGAGTTGTTTACTAAATGGATTTGGAATGAAAACGTACAAAACAAACTTAAACAAGTGCGGAACAAAAACTCACTTGTCTCACTTGTTTTCATTCCGATTGAGACCATGTGTGTCCCACAATGGGATGCACATTATACAAAGACTGAGTTTGCACGGTCGCATTAACGGATTCTGCGCTTGGCATGCAGATCAATTCATTCTCTCAGTCCAATGATTGCTTTGGAAACTCTCTTGGTTAGAATATATGCCTTTAATAGCAAAGTGGAGTTTTAGCATTTTACACTCATTTGTACCAACAGAAATTAGACACTCTCTGCAATGGATGTTCTCTTAATAATTGCTTGGGGCTGCTCTCTCTTTTTCTTTTTTTCAAGGTGAATAGCATTTTTATTTGTCAAAATTTATTTTTGGAGCTAAGTAAATTTTGGGCATAAGTAAATACAATAGGTTGGATTCTTTTTATGGGAGTTGCGACTATAGATAACGAAGAATTCAATTCTTATTTATCACCTTATATATTATTATTATTATTATTAGTTTTTAACAAATTGGTTACCAAACTAAAAGGGATTCAAAATCTTTCCTTAAGAAGACATTTCCTACCATTCATCTACCATATAAGAGAATTAAACAACTTTACTATAAAGTAATTATATTGCTCGCATTTTAAACGCCTCATAAATCACTCACACCAAAACTTTATACATAAACTACAGCAGTAATCTAGGGGTGCAACTTGGGCTGGCCCAACCCGGCCCAACCCCAACCCAACCTCAACCCGAATCGGGTTGGGTTGGGTCAACCCGAATTGTACCCAACATGAATTGGGTTATAACCCGAACCAAATATGTTCGGTCGGGTCGAGTTCACCTTTACTTTTTGTCATTGCAATGGATATCATCTCTTCTGTTATCACCAAACTCGCCTCCTCTAATCCATCTTTAGGTACCATTGGAGATGCAAGGAAATGACTATTACACATGTAGCATTTGCCAATGAGCTACTGATGCTATTTTATGCTGATTTAAATTTAGTGACTATCCTAAAATGTATTGATACATTCTCTAATCTCACTGGGTTGAAAGTTTAACTAATCAAAGAGTTGTGTCTCCTAATAAATTGCAACCTATAACAGCTTCACCTCAATCTTCCATTGCTATTTCCAAGGATGAAAGCCAAAAAAATAAATAAATAAATAAAATAAAATAAGAAGGTGAAACACTGGTAAACAAAGGGAGTACCTAAAGAGACATAACAATTCCATCAGACAACTTGAAAGTTGAATACTTGTATAACCATAATAAGGAGGATTAATTATAAATAAATAAATAAAGATATGAGAATAATCTAATGCACTGTTCTTGTCATTCAGCAACACAGAAGAACAAAGATCTGACAATAATGTACAGAGAGCAACCAAGGGCACACTCTTGTGAACAGCAAAATAACAAGATAAAAGTTAACAATGTCAAAATTAATACCATTGATTTGAAATGGACTATTATATTTTGCTACTGAATACTTTCTCCTTTTTAGAATTAAAATTTCAAACATTAAAAACAGATACGGCTAGTTCATTACTAACAGGCAACTCTTCCTCAAACAGTCTCTCTACTCTTAGTTTCCTTCTCAATATATGAGCAGCACTTTGGTTGATCAAGCATATCACGACTACTTGTCATCCATAGATGAAAAAGATCAGAGGAAATTTTGAGCCTCCAACGTCTCTTAAATTCCAACAAAATGCAAATTAAAAATATGTAAGATTCTCTTATTATACTGTATAATTTATACATATATGAACAAGTAAAAGGGTAATTATTCAATACCTTGTTCGACAACCTCAAGAGCCTCTAACGTCTCTTCAATCTCAACTGGATTAGGTGAAGCTCTTAGCCAATCTTGAGCACAATACTAGAAGTTCCAACATTATGCATTTAGAAGATTATTGATTTCAACTCACATTGCCAAAGGAAATTTAGAAATATTTGCAAGAAATTTTAACTAAAATCGTAACAGTTCATCTATTTAAAAGCTCCTTTTAATGTACATTTTTAATCTTAGTGGTATTTCCTCTCTCTTAACAGAGTTTGGGAGAGTAATTAAGGTCTTTTTAAATATATATATATATATATATATATATATATATATATATATATATATATATATATATATATATATATGGATTTACCAAATAAGCAATTGATTAGCACAAACACACACACACAAACAGATAAGGGAGTGGCAAGAAAAAGGTATAAATATTATCACATAAGCAAAATGAACAAAAATGCTCATCTCCTTCTCACGTATTCATGCAAAGCTTTTGGGCTGTGTGAGTATTTTTAATATTCAATGACACACTTACAAGTAAAACAGGAAATAGGAAACGTGAACTCCCAGAAAAATGGGCTCTTAGGCCCCTTGCAAGATTCCCAATTGCTTGAATGGCTTCAACTGCAATAGCTATGTTCACATCTCTAATAAGCTGGAGAACAAAAAAAATAAAGAAAGAAAGCAAGGAAAAACTGCATGAATATTTAACAATTTTGATGAACCGCAACACAAACAAGAAGAATATATGAATTTAGAAACTACAGATGGATAGACATATAAACTTCCAAATTCAAAACCCAGATCTGAACAGAAAATGGGATGCAATGGATAGAATAGTTCTGGGCTTCACATCTTAGTTAAGCTTTAGCCTCTATAGAAATGTATTAACATAAACAAAGTATATGAGAGATCAAAAAAACTCGAACAAAATTCAATTCAGCAGTACAAAGCTTTCACGTCCACGATTTGTTAAACATTAATCGTTTTGAAAATGCAACAGAGTCATGTGACTTTGTGAAAATCCATGAAATCAAATACTATTATTAAGCATAATTTAAAGATCGAAAAAGTTAATTATTACCTCAACCCACCAGAGATGTGAGATAGAAGGAGTCCCCGAGAGATGTGAGATGGAGGTGAGGGAGTCGCTGAGAGATATTAGATAGAGGGAATCGCTGGTAGGTGAGGGAGTCGCTGAGAGATATGAGATAGAGGGAGTCGCTGAGAGCTTCATCGAGTTTCGAGTTTCACAGGAGATCGAGTTTCACAGGAAATCGGCAGGAAGGCCAGAGAGAAGAGAAGGATGAGGAGAGAGAAAGTTAGGGTTTCTTTATCGTTATTTTATTTTTTTTTTTTAATGAAATGTTTAATTTGGGCTTTCGGGTTGGGTTCGGGTTGAACCCAGCCCAAACCGAATAAGGTTGGGTTTTGAAAAAACCCAACCCGACTGAAACTCGAATTGTAAATTTATATGTCCAGATTTTAGAATTCATGGGCAGGACTCGGGTTGGGTTGGGCTAACCCGCCCAAGTTGCACCCCCACAGTAATCACTCAATCAATCACTCATTCACAAAATTGCATCTATTGGTTGCTACACACTAATGGTAGACTCAAGATCTCCCATTTATAGTTGATTAAATCGGTAACAAATATAAATTGCACTTACCGGTTGTTACACACCGATGGGAGTTTTTAGAAATAGAGAGATATTTTGGTGCAGGTAGAACAGTAGACGGTTAGAGATATTTTGCTCCAGGTGGGAGGTTTCTAGAAAGAGAAAAAGAGGAAGTGTAGAGAGAAACTTCCTAGAGAAAGAGTACCACTGTCCCTCAACACAAAAATCCTATCTTTCTCGTAGTTATTCCGATTCGATGGTTTATCTCTCTCCATAAGGGGTAACGATTGGTGAAAATTTTAATTCGTTAATTTACGGATTAGAGTTAGAGGGAACGGATTAAGTTTTTTTTTAAGAATTGATTTTACGAGTTGGGCTATTTAAATTCACCAATATTATTATTATTATTTTTAACTATGGATAATTTTTATCCGTTAATAATATTTAAAAGTTTGTAAGTTTTTAGGATTAAAAATTAATAAAAACTTAGAATAATACTACCTCCGTCTAAAAAAAAAATGTCGTGTTTCGAGAACGGGGACAGTTCACTTTATGAAAGTCACCGTTTTCTAAAAGTGAAACTTTTTATGGAATGAAGAGAGTAAAATTATAAAGAAAATAGACACTTTTTATGGAATGAAAAGAGTAAAATTATAAAGAAAATAGAAAGGGAGGTGAGTTCAATAATCTACATTTGTACTCTCATTTTAAAGGAAATAACAATTTTAATTCTAATTTTATAAGTAAATAAATATTAATTTTCAAATGACACAAATGCTCTTTCAAATTTTTAAAAAAAATGAAAAAAAAATTATTATTGTTGAATAATATATATATATATATATAGTCAAAAGTCTTCTAGCTTAACTAGTAAGATGCCTCATGTTGGTTCTTGGAGTGCATGAGTTTGAAACTGGGCACCAACTAACTCCTTAAATATATATATTTATATTTTTACATGACAAACAAAAAATATCCAAAATAAAAGTTATTTTTGTTGAATAAATTGTCTCTTCTGACATAACCCCAAAAAAAATTATCTATATTGAATAAATTACCTTTTTGACAAAAATAAATAAATAAATAAATTATTGAACAAATTATCTCTTTTGTCAAAATTCAAAAAAAGGTTCTCTATTTAATAAATTATATATTTTGATAGAACCCAACAAAAAGTTAACAAAAAAAAGGTTACTACTTTGGACAAGACCGAAAAAAAGAAATACTGGAAAAAAAGTTAACTTTGTTGAATAAATTATCTCTGTTAATAATTGAAAAAAAACTTCTAAAAAAGTTATATATAAATAAATTATCTCTTTTGACTATCAAAAAAATATATGTATTGAATAAAGCATCTTTAGGACCCGGAAAAAAAAAAAAGAAAAAGAAAAAGAAAGTGCAGCACAGGAAAGAAAAAAATGTGATAGGAACCATTTTATCATTTCATTTAAAAGAAAAACATATAATATATGAGTTCAGCGGGTAAATAAAAGATTTGTATGTCCATTGCAAACCCACCTTTCTTCTTTTCTAATCCAACAAAACCAGTCTATTCCCTAATTCAACAAAACCACTTTATTCCACTTTAACAATCCACCCAATCCTTCTTTCCTAATCCAACAAAACCAGTCTATTCCCTAATTCAACAAAACCACTTTATTCCACTTTAACAATCAACCCAATCTGTTTTTTAACAAATGTGGGTGGTCGATGTAAACTTAGAATTTTAATTTTGTGAGAATAATGATTTAATAACCAAATTCGATAATTACCGAATTCAATTTATGTCGACAAATAATTACCGAATTCAATTTATGTTCGTGGATTTCACCATATTATGGTGACATTTGATGAAACTCATCACTCTTCTCACATAAATTAAATCCGTTAATAGTCAAATTCGTCCCTAAATCACTAATTTTTTAATATCACAAAAATTAGTTGGCGGTAGACATAGATTGTAGAACTGTGTCATTGGATTAGTAGTAATTGCGCATCCTCAATTCTGCATTGCAGCAACTGCCCACAAAGCCATGGCGGGATAAATCAACAAGTTTGAGAGTATCAGTTCCTGCGGGTTGGGTGGTAGTGGTGGTGGTGGTGGTGGTGGTGGGTGGCTCATATGGTGACTAGAGGAGAAGGCAAAGAAGGGGTTTGTGTGGGTTGGTTCAAAAAAGGACCCATCCAATCACGTCAGCATCAGAATTTACTCTTTCAACTTTACTCAAGTCATCAGAAAGGTGAATAGCTTTAGACAATATTATTAGACTACATATTAAATACAGTACACCTCTGGTACTCGTATCAAAGGGACCCATCCAATCACTAATGTGAATGATCATTTCCTTGGTACAAAATCCTGGTAATAATACATATTTTTTCCATTATCATCAATGCTCCAACATGGATAACAAGACTCGCGACTGGGGTACTGATATGATGGTGTTAGAAACACAACATCACACATGCATATCATGTTCACTTCCCTTCAAAGTTCTAATTACAACAAACCAGTGACTTTACAATGTGCTTGACAGAGAAAACTCACCGAAGATCTACTACATCAAACTCCAAATTGGGGTTCATAAAAACATGAGAACAGTGCTCATAAGTCATATATTGGACTTCCATTCCTCATGCGGATGAAAACCACGCTGTTGGGACAATTTCGAATAATAGAAACACCACTAGGATCGGACAAATGAAAAATGCCATGCGGACTGCAGTGGCATAAAACACAAAAAATGAATATTAGTGCCACAAAACTTTAAATACGTGCATCGATTCAAAATTACTTATACAGAAGAAATGTATGCATTCATGAACAAATGTTTATAAATAAAAAGGTCATTATCCAGTGCCAACGCAACCTATATTCACAGTGTTTGGAGGGGAAGACTGGGTGCGAGATTACTTTTAACACCATTTTGCACAAAGTAACTACAGTGAAAATCAAACATGCATCTTCATGCTACTCAACTTGAGCTTTCTACAAGCAATGATCCTTCACAAATATGCTCAGATACACACGTATGCACGAGAGAGCTGACAACCTGCCCCGTAATAGTCAGTGAGGTCAGTCAAGAGCAATGGTGGTTATTTATTGGAGATTTCATTGGGCATGGGTATTACGGTTGTATAGGACGTTCAACATACTATCCTACCTCCCACTGTTATTGTTAATCTCATATGAGATTAAGATCAATCTGGATGAGATTAAGATCCAGAAACCCAAAGTTGAGACCTGAGATTTGGATTGATGTAGTAATGACCAAAGGGCCATATATACAGTGTCTTTTACCAGTCCCTGCCAATCCTCCATCAATGATTTATGGTATTGATTTTAGGAATCCTCCATCAATGTATTTCCATATTTATCACTTGTATTCTTTCACCAATAAATAGAGGCCGTATAATTTCTCTCTTCAAAATTTTTATCTTTCAACAAAAATAAATCACCATATATAGCAGTGTCTAACTACAACTCGTTGGTCCATGCCAATTGCCAAGTCAAGGCGAATCGAACCTTTCTGCAGTGTGGTTTGTAACTACATATATAGCAGATAAAAAATTTTGCGCACGTCAAATAATTCACTTATGTGCAGCAGTCAGATATATTGAAGATAAAATTTCAAGTTAAAAACACATACTTGTGTGCAAACATACATTATCTAAGTTGATCACTCAAAATTATTAGTTACTAAAATTCATGCATTTTCCAAGAAAAATTCTTGCAAGACTGTTTCAAAATAGGATACAAGAAAACTGGGAATCAAAAGAACAGTACCTGGACGTGTCTGTAGGAGCCATAACAATTGCAATTGATTCTGGTAACATGATCTAAGAAGAAGCCACAAACCAGATACTTCAGTCAAGTACAATTATAATAGATCACACATAGGTCAGCAGAGATAATAGAAGTAACGAACCAGTACTAGGCAAGGTCATGTGCACCTATGGTGAAGAACAGTACGATTATTCGCAGGAATTAGATAACCTAAAAGAATAGTACATTCTTAACTTACTCGCGGAATTAGCTGTTTGTTGAAAACCAAATAATCTTTATTTTACATGACAAATTAATCATCTATTACAAAAAAAATAAAAATATACACCTGTGACTAAATCTCCCTTGGAATATGAATGGTCCCAATGTAATTGTTGAAGGGTAAATATCAACACAACTGAAAAGGGGACACTAAGGAAAGTATTTTCGCAAGTTTTTCAATATATATATTTTTTTGATCCAATCTGAAAATTCACACCAATTTTCAAATTTTCTTGAACTTATAATATATAGCTGTCAGAAATACTTGGTACTTAAAACTATGAATATTTTGCCCAAATTTAATAGCCCTATTCATCAACATTGACTGGATTTTTAGCTGAGCAGATAAAAATATAAAAATGCTTTATTTTGCCAAAATACTAATCCAGAATTCTTCCAAATTCCAACAAAACTCTGTTGTTACAGCCAATTTTTTTTTCTTCCAAACTTTTTCCTATACGAATGCAAATACCCAGTCAGAATCCAAATTTCGCCAAAATTACTCCCAAGTTTGGAAAATTTTAATATCATGGATATGTCATCATTTTTAGATGTCTCTGGTATTACAACATCCATATTTTTAATATCATCCATTTGTGAGATGGCAGTGAGATTCCCTTTGGCTCCATGAGAAATATTACACTCAGGCTGAAATCTATACAAAGTCTCAATAAAACTAGTGACTTTGACCTGTTAATGTCTCTGCCCACAGTTAGATGTCTCTGCCCACAGTTAATGTAGAAATAGTGACTTTGACCTGTTAATGTTGACCTGTTACTGTAGAAATAGTGATTTCGGGCCAAACAAAGTTTTTAACAGAATGGATCATCTTGGTATGGGTTTTGACTATCCTGGAATACAGGGTCATCATATAAATTAACTGGGTGACTAGTTTCAGCT